ATTTATATATTAATTGATACATTTTAGGTATACAATACATTTACATTTATCATTGGGTGTTTGTACCTGTACATGATGTATCTTGGTTCTTACTTTTTTCCCCATTATCTATGCACTAAGCCAGGATTTTAGCTCAGTGGTTTCACCACCTGCTGTGCAAGCGCAGGGACCCAAATTTGATCCCCAGTACAAAAAAACAAAACAAAACAAAAAAATCACCTTTAAAAAATTCTAAAGAATATTTTTTCCTGATATAATTTTTTTGTTTTTTTGGTTTTTTCCTGATCTAATTTTAACCTTAAGATACCACTTGGTTTCATCTGAAGCAAAGTTGCACAAAGGTTTATACCGTATCATATACCATTTTATTTTTTTTAAAGAAGCATGATCCTGGAAGATTTACTCAGATGCCTATAATTTCAAAGGAATTCTAGGAAATTAACAACTTTTGCAAGCTAAAATATTACTTATTACCTTTTTTTTGATACCGGGGATCGAACTCAGGACCTTGCGCTTGCAAGGCAGGCGGTGGCACCACTGAGCTAAATTGCCGGCCCTACTTATTACCTTTATAAGACTAACAAAATAATTCCTTCTTTTGGTTTAAACCCAAGTTTACTCTTCCTAAGGTAAACCAAAGTATCACAAGTATGTATTCTGGACACTATTATATCCTACTTCTTTTTTATTTCCTTGGATTTAGTGAAGATTCAACTAAGGTAGTCTTATACATATTGTCGGGATGTTAATTGTGGCTTACTTTTCTTTTTATAGCACACTGTGCAACTCATTAATATTGTACACATTCTTCTCATTTGAACCAAAAAGTAAAAGATCTTAAAATTAATGTTTATAAATTTCTTGATATTAACATAAAATAGAATTGTCCATATTCAAATTTGAGGTTTAAAAATCACATACCCTTAAAAGAAAACATTTTCCTTTTTATATTTTCTGCATAATTGTATAAGAGCAACAAATCTGAATGAAAGCAATGAAAAAAAAATGTCATTTGTTTTTGGTTATCTTTTTTTTCTATTATTGAATTTTTAGATACCTTACTAATCCCCCCAAAAAAGAGTATTTAATACCTGTAGGTCTCCAGCTCTTCAGCGGCATGGCTGATCCTTTCATCCAATTTAGAAAGTTTCTCATCTTTTTCTAACCGGTAATTTTCCTCTACTGTTAATTTCCTTTTAAAAAAAAGTGTTTTATTTCTTTTAATACATGTCACAAAATAATCAACTACATCTTTTTAACTATCAACACTGGTGTTTCCCCTAAAACAATTTTTAAAATACCACTACAAATATTACATGCAAGAAAAAGAGAAGAAATATTTCTGGTGTGGAATACTATAAACTCAACATTGTATTACATCCAATAAAGTACTGCTGAAATCATGGTTTCAAGAATTTTCTATATTAATTTATCAAAAAACAAAGTTATCAAAGGTAAATGCTAACAACAAATATTATGACTACGTATCATTTATCAAACCTTCTTATATAAAAAGCATTACATTTGTTACACAAAAAGTTACCACCTAATAAACTGTTTCAATATTTTTTAAATGGTGATTAAAAATAGGAATTAGGCTTCCATACCGTTTCAATAATAATAATAACAACAAGAGAATGAACACAAAGTGAATAACATTATAAACAGTACTAGTCCTACTTACTATTCTTAGTTCTTTTTTTTGGTTTCTTGAGACAGTCTCACTATGTAGCACAGGCTAGCCTTTAACTCACTGTGTAGCCCAGGCTGGCCTCCAACTTATGGCAATCCTCCTGCCTCACCCTCTCAAGTGCTGCGAATACAGGAATGTGCCACCACGCCCAGCTATTCTTAGTTCTTTCAATATTAAAAACAAGTAATTTATTGAGCCATTAGTATGTGCCATTAGTATATCAGAGTATCGAGGCATTCCAGTGCTGGTGATCCTATGCCATGCCGTAGCAGGCTGTTTGATCACTGAAAGCTCTAAAAGGTTTGCCATCACTGGTATAGGCCTTTACAGCATTATCATATTTAATTACTACCATACCTCTATAAGAAAGGTACTATTATTTTTCCTCTTTTATAAAAATGAAAATGAAGAACAGAAAAACTTAATACAAGGTGCATTACTTAGCAACAGGGATCTCTTGAGAAATGCGTCATTGGGCAATTTAGCCCATTATATAAACATCACAGTGTACTTACATAAACTAAGACAGTTATGATGTCACTCAGTAACATAATCTTATGAGACCATCTTCATGTACACAGTTCATAGTTGACCAACATATCATTTTGTGGTGTGTGACTGTGACTGGACCAAGGTAGAGAGCTCACAAGTCCTCTATGCTATCCACTCTGCTTCACGTAGTATCATTAATGCTGTGCTCTCAAGAAATACTGAACAACACAGGAAAACACAAATGGAGTGCTAAATAGATGTCTCCTCTCCTTTATGAACTTTGTAAAGGAACATTACAAACTACTAGAGAAATACCACAGGGCACAAGTAAATGTTTCATATTTTATACACTACATGCCTATTGCTTAGAAAGTATTCTCTAGGGTAATCCTTAGGTAAGTCTTCCAAGAAAATAAGTCTTTGCCTTAGGAAAAGCCGGAGAGTATAAAGGGCACAGGTAAGGAAGAGAGGTGTGCCTCTGCAGACTGTAGCTACTGAAGATGCCAGCGATTCTTAGACACCCCTCCCATTACACTGAGCTCTTATTTACACTCCCCTCGACTTTGAGAAGGCCTATTAAAGGGAGAAATTACACTGCGAAAGGAAACCCAAAAAGACAACTAAAGAACAATCACAACTTCACATACTTAAAGCAACACACTAAGTTCTTAGGTTCTACATTTTTACTTCTCTGCACTATTAAATTTGGAAAAGTGCTAGTAATGTAATATATGTCATGAAAACCATTAAGTCAGAATACAGAAAACAACTGAAACTACAGTACACTGTACGAAGGCAAAAATTTAAATCTAACACTTGAACGGTTCTGTCAAGTCTCTATATTTTACTCTGAAGAATAACCACTAGCATAATTCACTGAATTTGAGTAGAAATAGTTTAAGAATATATAATATTTGGGGAATTCAAAACATTTCAAATGAATGAATGAAATCACAATGCAAATAACACACACAGGTATGAGAACACTCAGCCTCTCATTCTTGCTTTGAAAATCTACAGGAAATACCATCTTTCTTTGAAATTTAAATATATCTAATTAAAATCTTATATCAACCATATATACTTTTATTCCAAAAAAATACACTTAGAAGAATTTTTGTCATCTCAAATAATCTCTTTATGTCGAAAATGTATTTCCAATATTGTGATACTTCAGTTCACAAACTTAATTCTTTCCATGATTCTGGTCACAAACTGAATCAGACATGACCCGAACCAAATTTCCCTATGAGGTCAATATTGAACCTAGCCACTAAATCTGATTTGGTTCTCATCTAATTCAGTCTGCAACCAGAATCACGGAAAGAATTAAGTTCGTGAACAGAGGTACCACTGAATCTTGCATTCTAAAAAGAAAGGCCTGTTCTTAGGGTTACTGACTGAAACCCTGAGGCTATTCTTCAACTCTTCCATTTAGTCACATTTATTTCTCTTCCATAGCCTGAGAAGTCCAAAATGGCCCAAAGGCCCACAATGAATGGTAAGTTTTCATTTAAATTTAGTCCAAAGCACTGAGGCACAGATCTCAGCAGTGAATGAGCCTAACCAACCACCCAACACCCTCATCTCAACGGAGCATTAACATTTTCTACCAGCTTACAAGTATATACAGTAGGTTGTTATAATTTATGCTCATTACGTTCTACAGTCACCACAAGCCCTGAATTAACAAATATTGGATTATGGTTCCTAAGGGTAACATAAGATTAGGGTCCTATTAGCCTCTGGTCACAACTTTATCAACCAATCAATATACACTCTTGCTTCATGTATGCATTTATTTAAATGCACATTATGGATTTACGAACACTGACCTCACAGTCAAGAGTTCTATAACTCATGCCTAAACCAAGTTTATATGGCATGTATTTTCCCCATAAAATAACATCACAGTCTTCTTGTTCTTCAGAGTTCTGGACAGCACTTGAACATTATGCTTGGGGAGCATTTTAAACATTTTTTTAAAAGCATAAAAATGTAAAAGATGTGCCAATAAACACTACAAAAACAATCCCTATCTACAGATTAAAAGTTGAAGCAAGGACCGGGGTTTTAGCTCAGTGGTTCCGGTGCCTGCCTCACAAGAGCAAGGTCCCAAGTTTGATCCCCGGGACCAGAAAAAAAAAAAAAAAAGTTGAAGCAAGAAAGGCAGAGGGGTGCCTCACTCAGCCTCAGCTGGGCAATTTAAACTTTTTTAGGTCTTAACATGTCCATAAATGGCCACAAAAACTCCAAGAAATGATTTAAAGGTTATAAATAAATTTCATCAAGTAGGCAAACTTGCACATATAGAATCTATGAAGATGAGGCAGGAGGATCACTGTAAAATCAAGGCCAGCCTGGCCTACATAGCAAGTTCAAGGCCAGCCTGAACTACACAGGGAGACCCAGTCTGAAAATAATAATTATAAAACAATATAATTTTTCTTACCTGTGGAGTTTCCTCTCGTTTTCTTGATACAGTTCAGTCATTACTTCAAGTTTCTGCCGAAGCCTCTGATTTTCACTTTCAAATTGTGTATTTTCTGACTGCAATGATGCTTGTTCAGTCTGGAGATTTTTAATATGCTCTAAAGAAAAATTTTGAAAACTCAAATAAATATTCTGAGTTGTACAGTAACATTTCAGAAAGATAAAAATTACTAAAAATAATAAATTAATAATAATCTAAACCAAACACAATGGAAAATCTGTAAGGTTAAGGAGCTTTGTTCTAATTTTTTAACTAGTATATCCTTGCTATATACCAGTCATTTTTGATTTGGGAAAATGATACATGTATATAGCATTAAAAGCTTTTTCTACATCTATTGAGATGATCAAGTGATTTATTTTCCTTTATTCTACCTATGACCCAGGTGTGGTGGCCCACATCTGTATTCCCAGCACTTGGGAGGCTGAGGCAGGAGGATCCTCATGGGTTCAAGTCTAGCCAGGGCTATGTAGTAAGTTCAAGGCCACTACATAGTGAACTACATAGTGAGACTCTGTCTCAAAACAAACAAACAAACAAAAAAGCATCTATTTATGTAATGTATTACACTTACTGATTTACTTTTTTTTTTTTGGTACCGGGGATCGAACTCGGGTCCTTGTGCTTGCGCAGCAGGTGGCAAAAACACTGAGCTAAATCCCCAGCCCCTGATTTACATATGTTGAACCATCCTTGCATCCCTAGGTTAAAGTCAACTTGTATGATGTTTTTAATAATTTGTTGAATTCTGTGTGCAGGTATCTTATTGAGGATATCTGCAAGGATACTGGCTTGTAGTTTTCTTTTTTTGTTAAATCCTTATCTAGCTTTGGTATCAGGGTAATGCTGGCTTCATAGAATGAGTTTGGAACTACTCCTTCCCTTTCAATTACATGGAAAAGTTTGTAGAATACTGATGTTAGTTTTTCTCTAAAGTTATGGTAAAATTCAGAAGTGAATCCACTGGGTCCTGGGCTTTTCTTAATGGGAGTTTTTATTACTGCATTTCATTGCTTGTTACTGATCTGTTCAGAGATTTTGCATCTTCTTGGTTCAATTTTGGTAAGTCATATGTGTCAAGGAATTTATCCATTTCTTCCAAATTCTCCAATATTGGAATATGTTTCAAAATAATATCTAATAGTCCTCTGGATTTCTGTGGTATTCTGTAATTTTGCCTCTTTCATTTCTAATTATATTGATGTGGGTGTTCTCTTTCTCTTAGTAAATTTGACTAAGGTTCTGCCAATCTTATTTATCCTTTCAAAGCATTCTTTGAGTTCATTACTTTTTAATCCACTGATCTTTTATACTACTTGTTCAGTCTCAATTTCATTGATTTCCACTCTGATTTTTATAATTTCTTTCCTTCTACTAGTTTGGGGTTTGGATTGTTCCTGTTTTTCTGGGCCCTTGAGATGCATCATTAGGTTATTTGGGATCATTCTGTTTTGCTAATGTGGCACTTATAGCTACAAACTTTCATCTTTGAACTTTTATCGTGTTCCACAGATTCTGATGTGTCATACTACCTTCGTCATTTGAGTCTATAAATTTTTTAATTTCTCCCTATTTCTCTTGTGACCCATTGATCTTTCAAGAGTATATTATTCAGTGTCTAATGCCAGACTGTTACAATATCAAGGACTCCTATTAGAACAGCCACACATAGTTTGCCACCACCACTGGCCTCAATCCGGCTACTCTACTCCCAGAATCTGACGAACAAATGCCCATCCATGATTGCCTCGAGACTCTTGAAAACTTGAGGGGAGGACTTCCGGACTTGACGGACCAGGTCCTCCCTGGAGCAGAGATAACGTTCTATACTGATGGGTGCAGTTTCGTTCGAGATGGTGTACGGTATGCTGGAGCGGCGGTGGTCAACCAGGACCAACAGGTGGAATGGGAGCAGGGGCTACCTCAAGGGACATCAGCACAGAGGGCTGAGCTGATTGCTTTGACCAAGGCTCTGGAATTGGGAAAAGGAAAAAGGATAAATATATTCACTGATAGCCGTTATGCTTTTGCCACCGCCCGTGTACACAGGGAAATTTATCAAAATAGAGGGCTGTTGACCTCCGAAGGAAAGGAAATCAAAAATAAGACTGAGACATTGGCATTGCTACAAGCCATCTGGATGCCCCGAGAGGTTGCCATCATCCACTGCCGCGGACACCAGAAAGGGGCTTAGCCCCAAGACGATTGGTAATGATGCTGCTGACCAGACAGCAAAACAAGCCGCCCAAAAATCACTGGGGAAGCAAATGGTTCTGCTTCCCACGCCGGTACTCCCAGAAAAACCTGAATACACAGATAAAGAAGTAGCGGAAATGAACAGGAGACGCTGGACTCGAGGAAAACATGGATGGTGGGCGACTAAGGATGGAAAGGTGGTGCTCCCAGCCACTGTAGCAGACACGTTGCTGAGAGAACTACGCGAGAAAAGGATGATGGCTGCCCTGTGACCTCATTTTGTCAGCGAGGGATTAGCCCAAAAGGCCCAGGACATGGTGAGACGATGCCCCACCTGCCTCAAGGTAAATGCAAATCGGGTAACCGGGCCCCCCAGGGTCCGACACAGAGGATTAACTCCAGGAGAACATTGGGAATTGGACTTTACTGAAATGAAGCCTGGCATGTATGGGTACAAATACCTGCTAGTTTTTGTGGATACCTTTTCAGGATGGGTAGAAGCATACCCCACTAAGAGGGAGACAGCTGAATTAACAGTTAAAAAGCTCCTGACAGAAATAGTTCCCTGTTTTGGTTTGCCCTTAGCTCTGGGGTCCGACAATGGTCCAGCCTTCACGGCCAAGATATCTAAATTAATTAGTAATATCCTTGGAATAAAGTGGAATCTACACTGTGCCTATAGGCCTCAAAGTTCAGGACAGGTAGAAAGAACAAATCAAACTTTAAAGGAGATTCTGACTAAATTATGCTTGGAGACTGAACTAGGTTGTTTAGAGCTTCTCCCTTTTGGCCTCCTCCGAACGAGGTGCACTCCCAAGCCTCCCCTCAATCTGTCCCCCTTCCAGATTGTTTATGGGCGATCTCCCCCAATCATCCCATTAGTAGATGTAGAATTAAAGGAAAAGTTTTCCCACCTTCGACTGCTTAAATCCTTAAAAGCAGTTCATCAGCTTCAGTCAGAGCTACATGAGACATTACGAAAGGAAATGACTAGTCCCAATGAAAAACCTTTACAACCTTTACCCTATAAGCGGGGAGATTTGGTTTTTATTCACAGGTTTGATTCCAAGACCCTGGAACCTCATTGGAAGGAACTGGTTCCTGTTGTCCTGTCAACTCCCTTGACGGGGAAGGTGGCTGGACATTCTGCCTGGATACATCACAACCATCTGAAAGCAGGACCCCCCGCGGACGTCAAAAAGGACAAATGGAAGGTTATCAGCCAACCAGGTGACCAAAAGCTAAGATTGGAGCGGGTTGCAGATGTTTCGCCTTCATGATAATATTCTCTGGGACACTGTCAGTATTGCCCCCAAGAGGTCTAGATCACACAAAAAAATGTATGGATTCAATTGGCAAACTCGCTTAATTTGTCTGAATTCTGTCTAAATGTTGATGTAAATTTCCATCATGTATTGGGGACATGCCTCATGTCATAAACCTAAAAATGCTGTCAAATTATATACACCCAGGGTAATTATGTCAAATAATACCCAATGTGCTATGTATGAAAATTGTACAACCAAATGTCTGAGGATAAAACGGTTGGAAGGGATGCACTGCCATATAAAACAAAAAATTGTGTATAACGATTGCCATATCTCCCTGCCAATAGGATGGTTTTATACCTGTGAAGGAATAACTTTCAATTATATCCCAGCCAATTTAACCAAGACCCGTTGCTGCTTGAGTCGTCTAGCTGTGGTTCTACCAGATAGAACTGATTTGATTATGCCAAACAGAACTAAATGTTGGTCACCCTATACTGCACCAGGACGTGATGATGATGTAGGTCTGTTGACAGATGCTGAAGTAATAACTATGATAGCATCTTTGTTGCCTTGCCTTCTATAAGAGTCCATGCTGAAAAGGCAGTACGGAAATTAGCATGCAAGGTGGTCAAAGGGTTAAATGCTACCTCATCAGCCTTGGCATTAATTAACCAAGAGTTACAAGAACAGAGACAGGCAATCTTAGATAACAGGGCAACGAGAGACTATTTGTTGCTCTTCCACCACGAAGGTTGTGAGAAAATAAGAAATAAGTGTTGTTTCAATCTTACTGACAATAGTCCAAAAATCAAAGAAAAGGTAAAACAATTGGAAGACCTGGCTCAAAGGGTACATAATGAAGATGGCTGGGACTTGTTCCAGTGGCTAACTAAATGGTTGCCCAACCTACAATGGTTAAAACAACTTTTTCTCATCATTATAGTTGTGTGTATATGCTTACTACTGTCATGCTGTTGTATACAATGGATGCCTACATTTATACATAAGATTACTTAAGTTGTAAACTCAGTGGGGAATGTGGGACTGCATAACTCTGTAATCATAAAACTCCCCTAGCCCCAACTGTGATTGAATGTGAGTAAATAGATAAAGATGCTTGTCAGAAAAAAAAAAAAAATATTACTCAATCTCCATGTCTGAATGGTAGAAATATGTTAATATATACTAAAATATAGCTTCCTTGAAAGTAGGGTTCATGGAATTTCCGTTTGTGACATTCCCGTGGCTTTAGTACTATATTTTATGCAATTTTTTTTAAACAAAATTAATGTTTTTTGAAGTCCAATGATAACTCAACTGACACATGTGAGAAGTGCAATCATCATCTTTTTAGTATCTCCACATGTGGTAGTTCAACCTTTAAAACTGTGTTTTACGATAAATATAGTCCACATCTTACAGAAGTGTTTGAAAGTAATGATCAGTAAAAAGAAAATAAAAATCTGCCCATAACCCCAAAGACAGTTGAATATGTCCTTCCAGTCTTTTTGGATGTAAACATATATGTAAAATATATTTCTTTTTGTACAAAATGAGATGTTATTTATACCAACTTTAAAAAAAATTGTAAGCTGGCCATAGTGGCAGGCACCTGTAATCCCAGCACACT